CAATGAGGGCTCTTGTCTTCTCCCTTCTACTTCAAACAGAGATATCTTTAGGAAAATAAAAGGAATCCCATTAATTAAAAAAATATGTTTATGAAAAATCACTGGGTTCTGTGATCCATAAGATTTTGGATCTAACATCCCATGGAAAAAATCTGTGAATGTTTCTATATTCATTGGTACTATTTTGTTCATTTCCAGAAAAGAAAACATGGTCTGGGGACCACAATGTAGCTGCTAATTTTGATGGGGAACAGGAGGAAAAGGACGTACTGGTCTTTGGAGAGGCAAAAAGGACAAAGAAAGGCACTGGATGTGGATGAAAGAATCCACTGAAATGCAAAGGCAGAAAAGGAACTGGAAATATACTATAAATTTTGCTTAAGACCAGATTTTGTCTCTGGAATATCAGTTTGAATATTAAAATAAAAATGATAGTTATAATTATAAAATTTATATATATATATATATACAAACATATTCATATATTTATGTGTATACTTTATACGGGCACCAATGATTTATAAAATACTAATAGTAGAGAATGTGCAATATCTATATCTGTGACCCGTGCCCTCTAAAAGTAGTCCAAAAAAAAAAAGATAAGAGGGACACCTGGGTGGTGTCATACATTCTCATTTGGACAAGTTAGAATTTTATCTAAAACAATTTTTGAAACTGTAGATAATATTTCCAACAGAGCAAAGTTATGAAAACTTTGTAATTTCTTTAAAAATATATAGGTAAACTACTTTTTAGATAAGCTTGGGGGTACAATGTAGATTTTTGCATTGTTTAAGTACATGCCTTCGTGCTCTATGGTCTCCTCACTCGGTTCCTCTTTTTTTTTTTTTTTTCCATGCCAGAGACTGCACAATCTATTTGACTGAAGAGTCAAGAAAACACAGGTGAGAAACTGGATACTTAGGAGCTCCAATTTTTCTAAAGGTTTTGCTTAAGAAATGTCTTAATATTTCACAGTATGTCAACATTCTTGTGTCATCCCATCATGTAGAGTTAGTTATACGCCATTCTTTTATATGGCTTGCCTCATAAGTTTACCAATTACTATGTTAACTTGAAGATTTTGGTCTTCAGAGCATTACCTTGTGTCACGAGATCATAAGTTAAAAATGCCTTGGGGTTTTTTTTATGAAGAAATTGCGTTGTATAAGTTTATTTTGTGTACATTATTTTCACTGTTTCTCATGACAATTGTAATAAAATAACTATTGGTTACAAAAATATACCGATAGATTTTTATAATAAATACTAATTGATCTTGTTTTATCCCATATGTGTAAAATGCATATGGGATATCCAATATCTTCGGAATTGGAATCAAAAATAAGATTGTTTTTTATGTATTTTTAAAAGCCATTACACAATATAGTCTACTCTGTCTAAATCCAACTGACACTACTGTATTTTGCAACTAGACTAACTTTGTGACTTTGAAAAGTTTTCTTCACATTGCTTTTTATATGACATCAACATCACTGTGCACCAGAGGTGACTGAGAAACGTATTTTGTTGGTTAAAAATATTGCAGTAAGCGACCGTCCTCCCCACAATTTTCAAATAAGAATCAATCAAGTCTTATGTGGTGATGTGCAAATTTTCAGTCAATTTTAACTGGTTTGGCTCTTCCGAAGGTTAAGGTAGTTTAATGGTTGAAAGCACATTGCAGTGAAGCCAGCTGCAAAAGTCAAAGGGTAGAGGATTAGGGCTTCATTTCCTTTTAGCTGTCGCCATGTCTGTTTTCTGTCCAGGCTGCCTCTTGCTGCTATTTAACCCATGCTTTTAAAGACAAGAGGGGTTGAGAACTTGAGGGCCTCTGGCTTCATTTTAACAAGGCGTCACTAGCACTTTGGTACATAATTTGTCATAAATGTCAGAGGTCACTGAATGTTCGAAACTTACAGCCGGCAGATGGTCATTATGACAGCAGTTATGTTTCAAAGGCAAAGGATATTTTGTGGTATTTACTTTAGTGTGTTAGTGTTACACCTCTGAGTATATCTGAGAAGATTTGAGGTTAAATCAAAACATCCTTAATGATGTAATGTATGGGGATTAACATAAGAATAAAATAATTAATTAATTAATTAATTAAAAAAATTAAAAAAAAAAAACATCCTTGTGGTTGACTGCTTAGGCAGCAGTAACAAAAGATGGACCAGTTTTCAAAAGATATTCTATTTGGTTATTCCGGCCTAAAATTTACACGTAATTTTTTTGCCTCCTCATGTTCAAACACTTACGGATTCCCCAGTTCTCACTTCTGAGAATTCGTAAAAACAAAATTAAGTAAAAAAGCAAATTATTAAAATGTGCTAATATGAATTTCTTTATCTAGCCATATCATTGAAATTATAGAAAATAAGATCTATAGGTGAGTTTCTATACTACAGCTAAACATTATCTAATAGCAGCATCAGATAAAACAAATAGAAAATATTAGATTAGATTCAACTACACTTCTAAATTGGTTAGTTTATTTTTTTTTAATTTTTATTTAAAAAAATTTTTTGTGAAAGAGAGAGAGAGAGCATGAGCAGGGGCAGGGGAGGGGCAGAGGAGGGAAAGAGAGAAATCCAAGCAGGATGCATGCCCAACATGGAGCCTGACTCAGGGCTCCATCTCATGATCCTGAGATCATGACCTGTGCTGAAATCAAGAGTCAGATGCTCAACCCCCTGAGTCACCCAGGCATCCCTAAATTTGTTAGTTTAAATGTTAATAATTTGCTCGTCATTTTGCCCTGCTTTTTAACTTATGACATTTTATACCAAACAATTTTAATAGTTCCCAAGAGCCAAAGCTCAAAGCAAGACTCAAATCCCACCGTACTTCTGTTAGACACACCCAGCGGAAACGATGAAGCGCTTGTGTTAAACAAAGAGGTCCACCATTTCTCAATACCTTCTTGTTCTTAAAATCATGAGTTTAGCTACAAGAGGTCTTGGACATAAACTAGTCAGATAGGTATTTCTACTAAACTTCATGACCATGAAGATAGAAGCATGCTTGAGACCGGGTGAAAATAAAAAAAGAGAGAGACGCTAGTGTTTCGCTGGTGAAAGTGTACTATTAAATGCCCGAGCATGCAGAGGATGTGAACAATGATCTCCTAACATAGGCAATAAATGATACAGACCTGGGGGAAGATGCTGACGGAGCTATGCAGCCTACATCTACCCACATATCTGAGAACATGAACTCCATTAAAACTTGAACTTCCTGTTTAAAATGCTTCACTAATGTTGCTGATAATTTACCTCACAGAAGATACAAGGGGAACAAGAAATTGTTACTCTGCACTTCACTCTGATCTAGAAGAAACAACTGGGTAATGATCTGAAAGTGGAAATGCCCTTGGGAGAAATTAAGACATGATACAGTTGGAATTAAGTTTAGCTGCATGCAAGAGAAAATCCAAATTAACTGGCATAGTGCATAAGATTAGAATCTTTGCTGAAAACGTCCAAAGGTCAGCTCTCCAGGGTTAGGGTAGCAACATCACACATTCGTGCAGATTCCAGGCCCCTCTCAGCCCTTCATTCAAAACGGGATGGATTAAGAACATGGACATAGAATCTAACTTCACCACTTTCTAGTTGTTCAGTCTTTGGCAAGTCACTTCACTTCTCTGTGCCTCCATATCTACATCTGTAAATAGATTTATAATTACTAACTATAAATTACTTTAATGGAAATTGTTAATTGGAACTGTGGGTAGTAATTTCTAATAAGTATTCCAAAGTAACAGTAGCTAACATTTAATGAGTGTTTCTCACATATAGGGGCTGTTCTTTTTAACTCTTTACTTGCTAAGTAAGGTACAGATGATAAAAAGCAGCATCGATGTGGCAGTGTGGCTATATGAACCCTGCTCTTAAGCACTACTTAGAGATAAGGGAACTGAGATCTCCATTTCATATGATTATTATATGCACATGAGTTGCATATGAGTTAACATAGGCAAAGTGTAAAGAGTAATTCCTGGCACATGGCAAATGCTACATATTCTGCTGGCCATCATTACTGCTACTGCTTTTCTGATGGGGCCCTCTTAATCAGTCTGAGATGACAGCTAGAGCGCCAATCATTTCAACTTTATTAAAAGAAAAGTTTTTATCACCATCCTTGAAAGACACTTCCGATATACACAAAACATAATCTCTACTTACATCCAATTGGCCATAATTTAGGCCCATGAACATGAGAAATATGGTCTTTATTCTATATCCCAGTAAAACTTGTGAATTTATCACTGAGGACATAATGAAAAATTAAACATTGGGAGGAACAACCAACAGTTAACTGCCATATGTCATCTATGAGTTCATGAAAGCATGAAAATTGCCTATTGGAGATTCTTAAACATGTACCTTAGGCTTTTCAGAAAGCCATTGATAAAATAAAGCAACATTGTAGGCATGATCTGGTGTCTAGAACTCCCTCCCCAAAGAAGATTCTTGTGGGCAGAACAGTTGAACCAAACAAAAATAAAAGCAAAATCTATGAAGAGATAAAGAAGGACTATCCTCAGAAACCACAGAGTTTTGATGAGCTAAGATTTATAAATAAAAAAATGTCATGGACCTTTGTGACCATTGCCAAGGAGAGTAAGTCAAAGATGACAGAAAGTTTTAAGGGTAAGACCGGAAACAGGGAAGTCCACTTCAGCTATGCTTGGTATACAAAAATGAACAAAAAGGGAAAACCACTGTTCTGAGGAGATGAAAGTAAAACACAGAACTATGAATCTCTAAGTCTTCATCTTCAACCTTCACTGTCAAGACTCTTTATACTGAAAAAAGTATAACAAGTATCATTAAGACAATTACCTTAGTCTGCTTTGCACATACTGTTTCTATTGTCTGGAATATCTTTCTTCTCATATTCACTCATGAAACTCTCCCTCCAGCTTCAAAATCTGGTTCAAACAATAATCCTAGAAAGCCCAGAGAGAGTAGGAGAGTTTCAAGAAGACATACCTGGCAGAGAATATCCAAGATCCTTTCCTCAGAGTGGGAGAATAAGGCCAGCTAAGGGTAGGCCTGATGGATCAGACTCAGAATTTTAGTTCCAGGTGCTAGAGCTCCCCCTTAAGCAAGAAGGTCAGGAACAGATAGATTCAGCCAATGAGTAAATGCCAAAATGGTGACAAAACAGGAAACAAAGTGACGTATCAAGTCCATTGAGATGGACACAGCTTAACTAATGGTTTGCATTGGGCAGAAATATTACAAAAAGAGAGCAATTTCATTTAATAGAAGCTTTAATAATGGATTCAGTATGAGCTTTAGTGATTTCCACCAAGGTCTTTGGATGTCTTAAGAAATGTCTCTGGTTGTCTTAAGTTGTCTTTTCTAGTTGCCAGCTTCAATTTCCTCAGATGTAAATGGACTTTCAAAGCAAGTTAGGGCAATTAGGTGAGAGGATGTACATAAAGCACTCCGCTGTGTTGCCGGCGCAAAGTATTTGCTCAATACTATGTAGCTGTAAAACTTATGAATAGGTTTAACACCTTGCCTAAAATAAATGAGGTGAATCAATAGTGTCCCAATTTTCAAAAAGAAAATGGTTTTATGTCCACTTGAATTACTTGCATTCCTGAAGCCGAAATCCCTGTGCTTCCTCTCATTCCACTCCCCATCCAGGCCCCTTTTCTGACTTCTCTGTCTCTGCCAATGTCTTCACCTTTTCTGGGTTATTCAGGCTCAAATATTTAAAGTCCCATTTGAATCTTTCTTCCTCATCCTTGCATCCATTCACTTGTCAAGGTATATTTATTCTAAATGCACCGTGTCACTCACATCCATTCCCGTTAACAGAGTTCAGTCCCCATTTCTTCTCTCCTGGACTGTTTAAAACCATCCTAACTGCTCTTTCACCTTTTGAGCCTTCCCACTGCTAATACATCCTCCAGAATTCTTCCTGTTAAATTTCAACTCATTCACTTTAACCCATCATTTCAACCTGTCAGCATCATTCAAAATCCTAATTCTGTCCTCTACAACTTATTGTCCTTGTATCCCCCACCCCTGCTTGCTATATCATCATCCAAATCATATCACTAAAATAAGAGGCAAAAAGGCAAAGCAAGGAGCTCTACCGACACAACAGAAAACCATTTCCAAGGTCGTTATCAATTCAAACCAATTTAATTAAATAAATATCTCTTGGTGTCCTTCCATCTATAGTGTGGTACAGCGTGGAAAACATTTCAGTCTTAAAGGGCACACAGCCTTGGTTTGAAGCTCTGGTTTTCCACGTAAGAGTAATGTAGGAAGGAATTTTTGGTCCACTGAAGAGGCAAAATGGGAGTATCTTACCTAACTTATAGGTTTCAATGTTAATTAATAGCACTATCAGGAAAGGCAATTTAGCTTGATTTTTAGAATATGGTATTTAATACATTTTATTTTCTAAAAATTAAGCATCATGCTAAATCTGCAGAGATACAAAGAGTGAGACTCAGCTCCTGTTCTCAGAAAACTTACAGTCTAGTTGAGGGGGATTACAGATGTGGTACTGAAAAGGCTGAGTGTGGCAAGTTCCAGTGCAATGCAATGGGACTCAAAGCAGAGGTCACACCTGTCCTGAGGGTAAGGCCTCCTTGATTATTCCTGATCATGAATCAAGGGCAGTGAGGAATCATTGAAAGTTTTTAAAGAGGAAGTTAAATGATTAGAACTAGACTTTAGGAAGGCTCCACAGAGAGCAACATGTAGGCTGTATTATAAGATTAGGGAGAAAAAGCCAGATTAAAAGATACTAACATTACTTTTTTTTTTTTTTTAATCTCACTTGACTCTTACGCTCAGTCCACTATTGCTTCTTTCTTGATCTCTCTCTCCTCCCCTGTCTTCGAATTACCTTTCTCTCATGATCTTGTCCAAAATCTTTGGTTATGTCTCAATCTCATTTCTGACTCCTTTTTCTCTACTTCTGTAGTAACTACTGAAGTTTCCTAAAGTCTATTTCATATCATTCCATTACACTCTCCTTAAATGATTTTATTTAAACTCAAGAGCTCAAATCCTGCCTGTATCTTGGCACCTCCCCAAACTAAATTTCTTGACAGAATCGCTCTTGAGCTGGAGATTTATATCCACCTGGCTCCTCAACTTCCACAAGTGAATACTCAATTACTTCTAACCCAACTCAAATTAGGTGCCATCTTCACAATGAACTCTCACTCACTCATTTGTCCATTTGTTTGGCTACAAGTATTTGAGCCTGTGCTAAGTACCAGGTACTATTGCTAAGTACAAGTATTTGAGCCTGTGCTAAGTACCAGGTACTATTGCTAAGTACAAGTATTTGAGCCTGTGCTAAGTACCAGGTACTATTGCTAAGTACAAGTATTTGAGCCTGTGCTAAGTACCAGGTACTATTGCTAAGTACAAGTATTTGAGCCTGTGCTAAGTACCAGGTACTATTGCTAAGTACAAGTATTTGAGCCTGTGCTAAGTACCAGGTACTATTATAGGCATGGGGGCCTTGCCAGTGAATAGAGATATCCATCCTTGCAGAATTTACACCAAGTTCACCCTGGCAATGGATTTTCAGTATTGTGATTCTAATTTTGACAATCCACACCCCACCCTAACCAACTGTTTCTAATCCTTAGGTTACTCTCTGGTGTCTTCAAGATAAAATCCAAGCTTTTTAGAATAACATTTAAAAAACAAAAAAACAGACAAATTTATGATCTAGCCCATGCTGACAGATTAGGGTCACTTTTTTCCCATAGTTTGCAGCTTACATAATTTATGATTCATCATATGAGCAATGCTCTAGCTCAGTCTTGGCCTTTGCCCTTACTGTTTCCTGTCTGGAGAGTTTCCTCCTCTTTACCCATGCCCCATCCAGCTAGTGCTTGCTCACTCTTCGTAACTCACCCAAAATGTCAGCTCTTCCATGATCATTCTCCCATTTCCCAGGATGGATTAAGTGAACTTCTCTATATTCCTATAAATATTTTATATACCCCTATCATAGCACTTATCCAAATCTATTATAAATACTTACTTCTGTATCATGGCCCAAGTAGTTTCTGAGCTAATAGAATATGGGGACTTTGGTGTTATTCTCTGATTCCCTGTGCTTTTTGCATTTGCTACTTGTCTAGCCATAGAGTCTTTTTTAAATCCTTTTTGCTAGTTAAATAAGTTAAATAAGTTAAAATACTGAATTTTCCAGATTCAAATTACTGTGTGGTTTCTGTCTCCTGGCTGGACTGACTGATACACTCCCTAGCACAATGCTCGGCACATATTGAGAACCAAATAAATTGTGGTTGAATTACTAAAATAATGATCAAGGAAAGAGGTATATACTGTTTATATACCTAAGTTTATACCAATGATATAAACTGCTATATTTGTTGAAGAAGGGCTAAGTGGAAAAATCACTGAGGATTCCAACTTCACTGAAGATGGGAACAAATTATATACGAGGAACAAAACAGAGCCAGTGATAACATCAAGATTTTGAGACTGAGAGCCTGGGAAAATGATGGTACTATTAGGAGAAGCAGACAACTAAAGAGGAGAAAAAGATGGTAATTTTAAGTGATTTTTATTTTATTTATTTATTTATTTATTTATTATTTATTTTTTATTTATTTGACAGAGAGAGAGACAGCGAGGGAACACAAGCAGGGGGAGTGGGAGAGGGAGAAGCATGCTTCCCGCAGAGCAGGGAGCCCAGTGCAGGGCTCCATCCCAGGACCCTGGGATCATGACCTGAACTGAAGGCAGACGCTTAATGACAGCCACCCAGGCTCCCCTTTAAGTGAAATTTTAAAAATTCATTTATATCTTGAGAGAATGGTATTTTCTGCAGTCTCTCAAGTAGTTAATCAAGTTACTCCAATAGCTAAACATAAAATCCAAAGATCTCAATGAGTGGCTTACTAGGCAAATTGTCTCTTTCTTGCTCACACAGCAGCTCAAGCCCAGGGTTTGGTTTGAGAGCTCTCACATGGTGATTTAGGGAACCACGGTCCCTGCATCTCATGGTTATACCTCTCCCCTGGGAATCCCCTGCAGGAGCCTCTTCATCTAGATGCAGATGGGGGAAGACACAGAGAAAGAAAACTGATTTGGGAGTAATGACCACATTCTTATAACTGTAGCATGTTGGAGTGTGAAGGAAAGAGGAGGAAGTAGAGTCCACACCTCCTTAGTCTTATTAGATTACATTAACTATCCAAGTTTGGGTGAAGTGATCCTAAATGGTACGTGAGAAAGGAGCAAAATCTTCCTTTTTAAGCAATCAAACTTTTGTCTGGGCTTATTTATAAAATTAGTTAACACACTTGCCCTCAAAATAATGGCTCTATTCAGTGACAGCTTGGTATATTGCCTATAACTTATAAGAGAAAAGCTAGCCTCCCTAAATAAGGACTACTGACAAGAAATACTCAGCTTGTGAATGCTTACTTCACAAGTACGCTTTACATCATTTCGGGAGAAAAGTTACCTCATCATAATTATACATCAAATGTAACAATAATAACTAACACTTACTAAAACACCATTGTGTGGCACATCATGTCATGAGAGAAATATATAGATTATTTTATTTAAACCTCACAACTGCCATGGGAAATACTGTTTGGGCCCTCACTATGACCATTGGGAATGTGGTTTTTTTTTTTTTTTTTTTTTTTTTTTTCAGTGTTGACAACAGATGGACCTCGATTCTCTGTTTCCCTGGAGCCTTTTTTCTTTTTCCACTTAACTCCTGTGCTGTGGTAGCTTCCAGAGGCTGCCTAGGAGTTACCATGTAGGGACAAATTATGGGAAGAAATGGCATTATTCTTTCTGCTGAGAACCTGCTTTTGGTTTGAGAAGCATTCAAATTTCTACAAAGAAAAAAATATTAAAAGTTCAATGTTATATTAGTATTATAAATATAATGTTTTATTAGAAAGAGATCTGGCAAATATTTTACAACATAAGTAGAAATAATAATAGCTAATGCCTATAAAGAATTTACATAATTTCCCATTGAATTTTGGATTAAATCCAAGTTCTTAAAAGAAGTTTTCCTCTATAATATGGCTCTTGAGCCACA